TGAGTTGGAGCCCCGTGCCAGGCTCTGTGCTGACAGCTGAGAGCCTGGAACCTGCTTGGGATTCTGTGTCTCCCTCTCCCTCTGCCCCTCCCCCGCTCATGCTCTGTCTCTCTCTCTCTCTCTCAAAAATAAACGTTAAAAACATTTTTTTAAAGGTATTTGGAATAACGGTTATATAAATCAACTCAATATAATATGCATTACTTTTTTCATCAATTTATATAATCAGACGAATGATATTTTGCTACAGTTACTTTTATTAGGAAAAATTTGAAAGCCATTTATGTTCTACAAGGAAAAAAACTGAGACAGATTTCAAACCAATGTTTGTCAAGTATACTTCAGTGTCAAAAAAAAATTAGTATCCCTAACTGGTTTCTCAGAACTGTTTCCGGAAACTGGTAAGGCTTACTGATCTCCGTCCCCAATAATGGGTAGGAGTAACATGTTTATTCATGTCAATAAGAGCACATTATGAAACCAAAGGGGTAAAAGGCTGGCTTTGATGTCTGGAGACTTCTTTCATTAGGCACAAAAATAACAATACAGTTGTGAGCTTGCAGTATCTGAAATATTGCCCAATAAATGCGCTGAGTGGCATTACTGAATAAAGCTAATAATGGCCTCCGATTTGATTCTACATGGGTTAGTAATGCTGGGGAGTCCCCTAGCTTTTGTTGACCGTAACAAGAACTGAACACAGAAATTCCATACCTGCCATCTGCTCTCTGGGATTACACGGATTCTGTTCCTGCAATTAAAACCTTGTATTATAACCAAATGTTCGTTAACTTTATAAACTCTGAGGAAGAGGAGAGCTGACAAAGTTTCAGATTAAAGGATATCTTGTAAACAAATACTTTTAACTTCTCAGACACACCTCTGCCCTGCTATTTGGTGCAGTGTGGGGAGAGAAAAAGAAGAGAGTCATTCTCTCCTCCCTTCCAAATGTGGGTGGCTTTATGATGTTCACACTGCTGACATTTATGAAACAATTCACAGGTAGGTCGCCAAATTATCTTTATAAAAATGAGATGTTTGTGGGGCGCCTGGGTGGCTCAGTCGGTTGAGTGTCCGGCTCCGGCTCAGGTCATGATCTCACGGTTTGTGGGTTCAAGCCCCATGTCGGGCTCTGCGCTGACAGCTCAGAGCCTGGAGCCTGCTTCAGATTTTGTGTCTCCTTCTCTCTCTGCTCCTCCCCCACTTGTGCTCTGTTTCTCTCCCTCAAAAATAAATAAATGTTAAAAAAAAAAAAAAAGAGATGTTTGTGATATTAGGTGCTCTAACAAGCTTTTGTATTTTCCCAGAGAGCACAGATGTAAACCCTATCAAGGTTATTTGGTGATGACTCCCCAACACTATCGGATTAGTTAAATGTGGGAAAAAACATTTTCCTTTTAAAGCCATTCTTAATTCAAGGCCAAGTGTGGGACAAAGCATTTGTTAGGAGGGATGTGGGTGTTCTGACTGCTCAAGGCTATGCTAGGAGCTCTTACTCCAAAGTCGAAATGGAAAAGGCAATAAGGTCACAGGTTGACCACACACTCCTATCTTGTGGTTCCCCGGGAGACTCTGGGTACAGAGCACTTCTGGCCCAGTGTTCCTGAGTCAGACCGGGAACTTCCTAGCTTTGCTACTGGCACCCTCTGTTGGTAAATGCAAACGTTCACTCCCTATTGGGAATGCTAGCAGACAAATCATTTGTTCACCATTTCCCTCCCAGTTAGGTACAGAAAATACTGAGATTATCTTAGTAGAACACAAATGGGGCTACAATCCTGGGGCCAGACAGCCCCCCAGGATGAGAGAATCCAGCCCCAAAGGTAGTTTCTCTATTAATTCATCATGAATAGTTCAAGCCTTTTGTCCAACTTGTGCATTTTGAATCTGGGGCAAAATTAATAATCTCTCAGAGTCTGAGCACTTAGAAGCAGAGAGCACTTGGCTGTGCTGTCTACCAGTCTTAGGCAAAAGGGAAACATTTAAACACGGGAAAGAACAGAATTGTGGTTTCACATGCACTTTGTGTAATACAAAGCCTATGTAAATTCTCATTTGTGTTTTACAATGTGGATATGAAAATATACATTCATGTTTTGGTTTATGCATATAGCATGGCATGTACATTACCTTTTTGTGGAACTATATGCAAGAAACCTTATTATCTTTTCATAGAAGGACTAAAAGATATGGGAGGAAGAACTTCGCTGCCCATTTTATAGCTTTCCGTATTATTTGAATTTTACTACAGGCACTTACTACTTTCATTTTATTTTTAAAAATAAATAATTAAATATTATTTTATTTATTTTATTTATTTATTATTCTATGAAATAGAAGAAATATTTCAATGTTAGAATATTCAAATATTATGGAACATTTTAATTTTCTTTATAGGTTTTGAATAAAAATTTACTAATATTATCTAAGACAATAAGAACGGTTTCTAAAAATGTCTTAATAACCACACTAAAGGCCAAAGACAAAAGTATAAAAAGCACCAGAAATTTATACAAATTTCCAAAATTTTCTAAGAATAAATTATTTTAGTAATTTGTGGAAAAAGTAGGATTAATAGACAATTTGAAAACTTTTATATTACAACTATATAATAATGCCTTTGAGAAAGAGTTCTCTCAAGAATCAGTTCTGAATAGGTCTCTTTAACACATGTTAATGATTAAAAAAAAATTCACACAACGGAGAATGGACCTTTATGTCTATTAAGTAAATGATTCTTACTATTTTAGTACTTGATACAAAGTACAATTCCACCTTTTAAGGTGATCAGATATATTTTACACTGAGCTCTTCATTCTCTACTTACTAGATATCTGTATAAAAATACCTTTTGGTCAGGAAAAACACCTTTGGATTACAAAAGTCAGCTTGAGAGATGTTATATCAGTTCTAATTTATACACTTCCTGACCTCAAAATTTTGCTGTTTTCAGAAAACTACACCAAATATATAGCACGTTGCTGAGTTTGAGCAGCCCTCAAGAAAATGTTAGTGCTACACAAATTGATATCTTAAATATATTCTTTTCTAATGAATTAAACATAAATGGGTATTTATTATTCATGTATTGATTTGACAAATATTTATCAAGTGCCTATAATGTTCCATGAAAGGAGATAAATGCCTGAATCAAAGATACACAAAACAGTCCTTGGTCTCAATAAAATCACAATCGAGCTACTTTGCAGAAAGGGGGACATCATCTACTCAAGTACCCCCTCTTGTTGTCTACTTCAACTCTTTAAAGTCAGAAACATAAACTACTATTAAAATCAGAATAAAGATAATTCTTCCCTGTATGCTATATTCTTGAAATTAATTACAAGTCATCTTAGTAGTCATTTTAATATAAAAGCCAAAGTAAAAGAGTCTACTGATGAATGGATAAAGAAGAGATTATTTATATACAATGGAATATTACTCGGCTGTCAAAAAGAATGAAATCTTGCTATTTGCAATGATGTGGATGGAGCCAGAATGTATTTTGCTAAGTGAAATAAGTCAAATCCAAGAAAGACAAATGCCATATGATTCCACCCATATGTGAAATTTAAGAAACAAAACAGATGAACGGGGGGGGGGGGGTGGTGAGAAAGAAGAGAGGGAAACAAACCACAAAAGAGAGGGAAACAAACCACAAGAGACCTTAACAACAGAGAACAAACTGAGGGTTGATGGAGGGAGGTGGGTGGCAGATGGGCTGTGGGTGATGGGTAGTAAGTAGGTCACTTGTGATGAGCACTGGGTGCTGTATGTAAGTGATGAATCACTGAATTCTAAACCTGAAACCAATATTGCATGATATGTTAACTAAATTTAAAAAAAAAATTAAAAATAAAAGAGTCTAGTTAATTCATCTGAGCAGTTATCTTAAAAATACACATTTACAAATAAGAAAAGGAAACAAAATGTTTCCAGAATATAATTCTATCCTGATATACATAAACACAGGTCCTCAATGGTAGACAAGATTGCTATTGTCATTACTATATTCATGTATAATCTTTTACCAAAATCCCTTGGCAACTTAGGAAGAATTCGTGAAAAGTAACTTTCAATGGTGCATCATTTTAACATTAATGCAATATTACAAATGGTTTCTAAATCTTGATTTCTTAGCTCCTTTCTACCTCTAAAGCCTAACATTAAGCCACAGCAATCTGAAAAACGAAACAAAACAGGACCCAGGGAATAAATTCCACATAGGCAGCAAATCTAGGTTTTAATTCTTGCTGTCTGTTGTCTCTGAAATACGTTTAAAAGTCAGTAAGTTTAAAACGCCTTTAATGTCAGTTAAAAGGATAACACCAATGAAACCCTTCACATAAGTGTAAAATCAACAACTGATTTAAAATGGCACCTGGAAAAACGTGTAGCCTTTCAGTGTGGAAATGCCTGATCTTGCAACAGCACCAGAGACTGCACTCCTTTGACATAAATAAGAGTCTATGGTAGTAGACAGACTTAAGGTGAGTAGGTTCCTACCAGCTTTAAATTCTGCAACAGAAAAAAAAAAAAAAACCCACTAGATATAGTTTGCCCTGATGTTGTTGTTCATTCTTATCCCGTTGTAATTATAACTGTGTTACTTGATTATCATATGCTCCCTAAAATTTAACTCCTTTCTCCAGCCACCTACACCTAAGGTTTATACTTTCTTTTTAGGGTGTCATTTTCTGAACTGAATGGACGTGTTGCCACAGTGAAGAAAACACCCTCACACTCTTCAGTGATCCTATACCCTAGTCCTTACTGGCCGTGGCTACTGTAGTTCTAAATGTATAACTATTCTAAGTGCCTGAGAAAACTGTGTACAGCTTAGCAGTTTTATGGAACAATGTAATCAAGAACATGATAACCATACTCCTTGTATAAAACACATAGACATTTATAGACACAATCAGATCCGAAGTCACACACTTCACTACATTTTCTATCACAACACCTGTGCCTATTCATCCTTCTGCTACCACATCCATCTACATGGCTGCTGAAAGGTCCACAGCTTCCCCTGTTTCTTCTTCTTTTGTTCCAGTCCCTTCACTTACTTTCTCATCCTCCATCTCTGTTTCAACTTTTTCTCCTGTCTCACCTGGAAAAGTAACCAAAGGAGATATTAAGATACTCTCATTTATCATTGACAATAAAGCACCTCACAGCTGACTTCCAGTGGGGCAGTTTCTGCTCTTTAGGTCAAACTAGTAAATTTCTCTGATGGTATCTAGAAAGGCAACTGCCCTGGGGCACCTTCAGCTCAGGTCATGATCTCACAGTTCATGAGTTTGAGCCCTGCGTCGGGCTCTGTGCTGACAGCTCTGAGCCTGGAGCCTACTTCAGATTCTGTGTCTCCCTCTCTCTCTGCCCCTCCCTTGCTCTCTCTCTCTCTCTCTCAAAAATAAATAAAACATCTTTAAAAATGTAACCCTTGAAAAAAAAAAAAAAAAAAAAGGAAAGGCAATTGCCCTGATTCTCTCAGATCCTCTGAATGGCTGATGTCACTTAACATCTCCTATCTTGGCATCCTCCTACATAAAATCAGTCTACAGAATTACCCAAGAAATGACAGCAGAGCATACTATAAATGAAAAGTTCCATTTAGGGGCGCCTGGGTAGCTCAGTTGGTTAAGCGTCCAACTTCGGCTCAGGTCATGATCTCAATGGCTCATGAGTCGGAGCCCCACATCAGGCTCTGTGCTGACAGCTCAGAGCCTGGAACCTGCTTCAGATTCTGTCTCTGTCTCTGTCTCTCTCTCTCTGCCCCTCTGTGTGCATGTTCTCACTCTCTCTCAAATAAAAATAAACATTTTTAAAGTGTTTTAAAAACGTTCCATTTATATCTAAATGAAAAGGTGGTCTAGGCATGCCCAGAAACCTAGGGCCATTATGGTGTTTAAAGAAAACAATTGTTAAACATTTAAAGACTGCAAACATTTAGGTGGCTCAGTTGGGTAAGCATCTAACTTTGGCTCAGGTCATGATCTTATGGTTCATGAGTTCGAGCCCCATGTCAGGCTCTGTGCTGACAGCTTAGAGCCTGGAGCCTGCTTCGGATTCTGTGTCTCCCTCTCTCTCTCTCTGCCCCTCCCTTGCTGGTACTCTGTCTCTTTTTCTCTCTCTCTCAAAAATAAACATTAAAAAAAGAGATAAAAAAAAAGATTGCAAATATTTAAAAGTCTGGATGTTGTAGATACAAATCTGTCTCCCTAAGAAATCAGAATGGGCCACACTGACCCCCAGGCTCATGGATGGAGCCAAGAAGCGGTGCCTCTTTTGCTAGGACGGTGCTCCTGTTCACCACGGTCCCCAGGGCTCCCCATGCCATAACATGTGCCCCTCGCTTCACTCACGGTCATTATCCTAGGCCCTAACGACTTGAGTTTGCTAACCCTAGTGCAACAAGTACATCTCCCCTGTTTTCCCTGGAGCACTTTTCTACACCTTCATTAAAGCACTTACCTCGATAGATTGTGGTAACTTGTTTCCATTCTGCCTTCTTCCCGCTAGCCTATGAGCACCGTGAGGACAGGGCCTATCTCCTGTACCCCTAGAACTTGGCATATGATTAGCACTCAAAAACTGCTGGGGTAATAAATGAATCAAGAAACAGACAGACGTGTGCTTTATTTAATTATACTGTAGTATGAAGCTAAAATTTACCAAAATGTAAATCATGTCCCAGAAGAAATGTTATTTTTAAATTATAATTCTAATAAAGAACAGTATGGATACCCTTTGTTTTATGCTGGTGAGGTACATTGTAAAAACACATTTTACCAAGACATAATACATTTTCTCCAGTCTTCCCAGAAAGACAAGAGGACTATATGAGGACACAAGCAGACTGACCGTAATTTTCTAAGGATAAGATTGGCAAAGATGAAAACTATAGTCGAAGATCCATTATGTGGGTACTCTTTCATTAGAAGCTTAATTCCCCCACTAACCACCTATTCATCTTTACTTTGGATCCTCGTACCCTCCATGGGGCCTGATGAAAAGTGAACTCGGAAAAACTCAGAAATTTTAACATGTTGCCTTCAACATCCAAGTGTATTCAACAATGAAACTCCAGGTTAAAAATTTCAGACACAGACTATGGTTTAGAAAATTTTTGCTAGAAAGCTAAGAGCTTGTTTTTCAGGTATGGAAGTCTTTTTGGTTTGGGTAAAATGAAGTTCAAACCCCTGAAATAGAGATCCCCAGGGACGATCTCTTATGTAGCACATCTAAACAACCCTGAATTTCGGACAACATCACTTTTACCTTCAATGTGTTGGTCCTCTTCATTAGTGTGAATTTTCCTGACCGTTTCCATATTAGCTCCTGTTTCTAGAATTCCCACTGGATGCTCCATGCTTCCAACTATCCCTTCAGGTTGAATCTGCTCCATGTTTCCTAGACCTTCAGGAGTTTTATGGAGCAAATCATTGTTTACAGCTGTTTCCACAAACTGACTTTCCTCCAATACTTCTGGTGTTTCATTCTCTTTGGGAATTGTTTCTAGAAGTTGGGATTGCTCATCTTTTATCACTGTTTCTTGAAGTTGCCGCTCTCCAGCTGTTTCCACAAACTGGCTTCCTTCCAATGTTTCTGGAGATTCACTCTCTTTGGGAATTGTTTCTAGAAGTTGGGATTGCTCATCTTTTCCCAATGTTTCTTGAAGTTTCTGCTCTCCAGCCATTTCCACAAACTGACCCCCTTCCAATCCTTCTGGAGATTCATTCTCCTTGGGAACTGTTTTTGGGAGCTGGGTCTGTTCACACTTTCCCATTGCTTCTTGAGGTTGTGGCTCTCTAGCTGCTTCCAGAGGAGGAACTTCCTCCTCTGTTCCTAGAGGTTTCATCTCTCTGGCAGTTTGTGGATTCTCAGTACCTTCCACTGCTCCAGGAGAGTCCCTCTCTCCTGTGATCCTCGACGGCTGATACTTCGTATCTCTTCCTGCAGATTCAGTCTCAGCATTTCCTTTTAAAGACTGAGCCTCTGTCACTGCTTCCGTGTCATTCTTCTCTCCTGCTCCGGGAGTATCATCTTTGACATGCGGCTGAAGTGGCTCAGATTCCCTGGGTCCTTCTAAAGGCTGAGCGTCTTCTGTAGGTCCTGGTGGGTCTGTAGTATCGTCTGCCAGGGGCTGTTCCCGGAGGGATTTAACACCATTAGCTGTAGATGCTGCTGAAATCTTGAGCTTCTCTAACGGAGGAGGACTTTCCTTTTGTACCTTGCCATAAAGAGTAGATGATTCTTTTCCCGGAGTATGTGGTTTGGGTTGGGCAAAGCAGGACTCGCTTTCTTCTATGGTTGAAAAATAGATACGCAAAGTTACTTTTTGAATATTCACTTGAAAAAGAAAAAATACAAATTTTTGGTTAGTTTCTATCCTCAGAAAATATATCACAATCAAGTAGTAGATTTAAGGGGCACCGGGGTGGCTCAGTCGGTTAAGCATCCCACTTCAGCTCAGGTCATGATCTCACCATTCATGAGTTTGAGCCCCATGTTGGGCTCTGTGCTGACAGCTCAGAGCCTGGAGCCTGCTTCAGATTCTGTGTCTCCCTCGCTCTCTGACCCTCCCCTGCTCGTGCTCTGTCTCTCTCTCTCTCTCTCTCTCTCTCTCAAAAATAAATAAACATAAAAAAAAAAAAAGAGTAGATTTAAGAGAGGAGTCGATTGGTGAAATTACAAATTTGGCATCTAGGGGTTAAGCGTCCGACTCTTGAAGAGTCCGACTCTTGATTTCTGCTCAGGTCATGGTCTCAGGGTGCGTGAGACTGAGTCCCGCATTTGGCTCTGCACTGACAGTGTGGAGCCTGCTTTGGATTCTCTCCCCGCCCTTCTCCCCCCCCCACCCACAAAATAAATAAACAAACTTAAAAGACAGAGAGAGAGAGTCCTGTGTATAGTTGAGTAAAGAGAGGCCATACCATGACCTAAACATTCCCCAAGTCAAACTTCTTTACTGTGTTCAGCTCTAACATGTCCTCCAAAACTACAATATTTTCTTGTTTGCTCCTTAGACACCTTCCCATATTCTCAATAAGCACATTTCACTTTGCTTTTTCTCATGTTCTTTCTCCTTCTCATCCTTAGCCTTAGTAGAAGATTTCAGTGTGTGGTGTTGGGCTGCTACAGAGGTCTTACTTTTTCCCAAAGTAGAATGGGCCTCAGTGGAAGGAAAGGGCCCCATGACGGAGAAGCTCCACTCGGTAAAGATCAAGATGTCTGGGAAGGAAAGTGGCAGGGACAGTTCAACCTGTGTTTCATTTCATCTGGGGGGCAGAAATCAAGAAAGAGTTGTAATTCTGGCATTGTAATTCTGGCTCTTCCCCCAGCTGTGTGACCTTGGGGACTTAGCTCCTAATTGTCACATCTGTAAAATGGCAGTGAATCTCTCTCTCCCCCCACATCAAGGCTGCACGAGGCATCAACATTAAAGGAGGAACACAAAAGTGCCCTAGACAGCTAAGCAACTTGGCAACATGATTATACTCTTTGACCCAGTAATCCTCCTTCTGGAAATTTATTCTAAAAGCACAAATGTCAGGAAAATATATATTTTTTGATATATATATATCATCTCAGTATTCTTCACAATAGCAAAAATTAAAAAACAACTTAAAAGTCTAATAAGTTGGGGAAAAGATAAATATTCTGTTGGATGGAATACTACTGCACCATGAAAAAAGATGGTTATGAAGACGATATGTTAATATAAGAAAATATTTATGGGGCACCTGGGTGGCTCAGTCAGTTGAGCATCCAATTGTTGGTTTCACCTCAGGTCATGATCTCGTGGTTTCGTGGGTTCGAGCCCCACGTCTGGCTCAGCACTGACAGCATGGAGCCTGCTTGGATTCTCTCTCTCCCTCTCTCTCTCTCTGCCCCTCCCCTTCTCACACTATCTCTGTTTCTCTCAAAATAAATATATAAAACTTAAAAAATATATTTATGATATAATAAGTTAAAATATTGGCACGCACAGTTGGGTTAATCAAGCGAAATGATGCATATAAAATGTGTATTGGCACAAGGTCTTGCGTGCACTTAAGTGCTCAGTAAATTAGCTACCAATTTCACATATAGTATGAGTATAGTAATGTCAATGATTGGAAGGGAAAGGGGGAGGAAGAAAAAGTAAATCACAAATAGATGGTGAAAACACTGAGAGAAAATAAACCAACATGTTAAAATGGACCTCTAGGTGATATACTTCTACCCTTTTTTCCCCCCAAAGATTGTTTTTCTTTTCTTCTCTTTTTAAATATTTTTTCCCTGGGGCACGTGGGTGGCTCTGCTGGTTCAACATCAACTTCAGCTCAGGTCATGATCTCACGATTTGTGGGTTCGAGCCCCATGTCTGGTCTGTGCCGAGAGCTCAGAGCCTGGAGCCTGTTTCAGATTCTGTCTCATTCTTTCTCTGCCCCTGCCCCACTTGTGCTCTGTCTCTCTCTGTCTCTCAAAAATAAATAAATGTAAAAAAAATTGTTTTAATATTTTTTCCCTAAGTTACTCCTCACCCCAGTTACATATGCATACATTTATACTGAATATCGCTTATCTAATGTAAAATGCACAACTAATACTCACATCTCCTCTCCCATTTCCCCTTCCCTAGGGGCAAATATTTTAATTCTTTTAGCTGTCTGAAGGGATATTTTTCTTCTATATCTCTAAGCAAATTGCTACTTCATGATTTTTCAGTTTGGGCTTTTCAGTGAACTCCCACTATGGAAAATAAAGGCTTCGGTTCCTTCTCCTCCTACCTCTATCACCACACCCTCTCCCATTACACACTAACATTTCCTTTCAATTCACCAACTATATATTAGCAATCATTTAACATAGTAATCATGTTGTAATTTGGGTAAATCAACATTCAAGTGCATGTCCATAGAATGAGTATGTCTGCTAGGAAGAACTGAGCCAAACAGTAAGCTCTTCCTTTGCGTAAATTTCTTTTTGTATTTCCCTGAAATAATAATTGTCATTGTCTTCACTTCCTTAGTTTATGTGTTGTCATTAATTCAACTCACTGCTAATTGTTTCTCTTCTTAATACATGTGTTCACACTAAATCATTTCCCACCCGGCCTCTGGGGCTGGGTGGGAAGCCCTGGGTGGAGAGTAATTCAAGCTGAGGCTTGGAGAAGCAGAGTTTGGGAAGGATGTGGGGAGATTGGGCCCTGGCTGTGGGCCCCCCAGGGGTCATATGTCAGAATAGGGAGAAGGGCTATCCTTCGCCTCTCTCTCAGGCTTCATCATGAAGAAGGTTTTCAAATTAATAGCACTTAAGGCAACTTAATAAAAGTGGTTTCTCAGGCCTACAAAATAATTCATTATGACAGGACGATTCATTCAGATCACACGAAGGATGTTCTGGTGAGGGTTGTCTAAGGAAATTAACAAGGAAATGTGTTAGTATACTAATCACAGATGTCTGCCAAATTATATTTTCTGGTAAAATAGTTATTATGGTGATTAGTACTGTCAGTTAAATGACATGAACGACTTTCATCCAACTGTGCCAGCTGTGGGTGCATTCTAAAGGCATCATTCTTCTAGAGCAGAAAGCCACGGGGGGGAATGTGTCAACACACCCAAACCAAAGTCACTCAATTCTATATTTTGAAAAACATATTATGCTATCAGACTAAATCAAGTTTTCTTCTCCAAAAAGTTTTATAAAAAGTTATTTTCCATGAATAGTGTCACAAATACTCAAGTGTTCTATCAATTTTTGCCATAACTAGAACATTTATGCCCATGATCAGAGTATCAATTTTCATTCTTAGGTACTTTTCCTAATCTTATTGATATACTTGAAGTAGGCAAATGCCCTTGACATATAATATTTTTATAATATAACCTGAAAATAGTCAGCCAAACTGGGAAATATTACAGAAGAATGTCACTGTCTCTAATATTTTTCTAAGGTAGCTCAAAGGAGATAAAATGTCTTAAAAATGATCACCAAATCTTGGGGCACCTGGGTGGCTCAGTCGGTTAAGCCATCTGACTCTTGGTTTTGGTTCAGGTCATGATCTCGCAGTTCATGAGTTCGAGCTCTGCATCAGGCTCCATGCTGGCAGCACAGAGCCTGCTTGTGATTCTCTATCTGCCCCTCCCCTGTTCTCTCTCTCTCGCAAAATAAGTCAATAAACTTTTACAAATAAATAAATAAAATGATCACCAAAACTTTTTTTTTTTTTTTAATCACCAAATCTTAACTATAGAGAACAAAACTGAGGATTACTGGAGGGGAGGTGGATGGGGGATGGGCTAGATGGGTGATGGGTACTAAGGAGGGCAGTTTTGTGATGAGCACTGGGTGTTGTATGAAAGTGATGAATCACTCAGTTCTACACCTGAAACTATAATATTGCACTCTGTGTTAACTAACTGGAATTTAAATAAAAACTTGAGGAAAAAAATAAAAAATAAATAAAATAATCACCAAAAAAAAAAATAAAAGAGAAAAGTTTAGTGACACCACATTCATTTTGTATTTATATTAATTAACTGCATTCTGCTTGAATTTTGAAAGGAATGTATTTTGGAGGTAATAGTTCTTTTTTTTTTATTTCTCCTTTGTTTTTTAATGTTTATTTACTTATTTTTGAGAGAGAGAGAGAGAGAATAAGGGAGGAGCAGAGAGAGGGAGAGAGAGAGTCAGAATCCAAAGCAGGCTCCAGGCTCTGACCTGTCAACACAGAGCCTGACATGGGGCTTGAACCCATGAACTGTGAGATCATGACCTGAGGTGAAGTTGGACGCTTAACCAAATGAGCCACCCAGGTGCCCCTGGAGGTAATAGTTCTTACCTAATAGCCCCAAAGTTCTCTTTTCCTATGTGAGAGAAAAGCACAATCTGTTCTGAAAGGCAGGGCAGAGATCGTATGACCTTGAAGACAACACCCATAATGTGGGGGGTTCGAGTCCTGATTCCTGTACTCACTAGCCTGATTAAGCCTTTTTTGTGCCTCAGTTTCACCACCTGTAAAATGGGAACAGTATCGGCAGAGTCGTTGTGAGGACTCCATGCATCACATTGCTAGTGGAAAGCACTGTCACAGTGACCGGCACCACTGAGTGACAGTCCATGCTAGCCGTCACCGGTATCATACCTCACTTGATGGCCCTAGAAAGGAAGACATTATGGTGGGCAAACAGACACGTAAGGTAATTTCATTCATTCTAGTATTGGTACCTTTCTCTAAGCTTATTCAGAAAAAAAGAGATCGAAGTAAAAAACTGAAAAGGTTGGAAAATAAATGGTAATTTCAAACCGCCTCTCAG